AATGGGCCATCCGATGACCAAAAGTGTGAACATACAGCATCTTCCCCACGGACGGCGCCAACTGTCGGTGCAGAAAGTGACCAACACATAAATATTTGTAGTTTTGCCGTACGTTGTGATCGGAGGTGGCCTAGCACTCAATGACATAGGGTTTATACTGGTTCAGACAACGTGCCCTACGTCCAGTTTGAGTTGGTCGGTGACTTTATTCCTGAGCCTAGGTGCTTGAAGTTTGCAGTGGGGTTACAAACGAGAAGGAGAAAGATGGGGGGTGCAAGAGGTCCGGTCGGACTCTGGTCTGAGGGGCCAAGAGTGACGGGAGCTCCGCTATGTGCTAAGTGTTCGAGCGTGTGCTTGCGGTTTGAACCTGGTGGTTCTATTGTTGTGTGCTAGTGAACTGATCGATCCTCTTGTCGGCTCTAATTGCGCTAGTCGGAGAGGAGCAGTAAGCAGGGGTTCAGCGCATTCTCGGTCGGAGAAGTGGGTCAGAGTCAAAAGTGGTGTTTTGGCCAGGCCTTCCGGTCGGAGAGGCCGTCCGAAGGTGGGCCGGTCAAAGAGGTGGGCCGGAGTCGGAAGCGGGCGTCGTTCCTCCTCGGCCAGGCCTTCCGGTCGGAGATTGGATTGTCCTTCTAGCCCGTCATTTTAGGTGTTTGGGCCGGCCCATGAGCTGCGCGTTGCTCGCAACGTTATCTATTGGGTCGAGCCTTTGTTGGGAAGCCGGTCCATGAGGGACCCTGGGTTTATGAATCCGACACACATGCTCTTCATAAGTGCGACTGTATATCAAGATATCATCGAAAAAGACAATCACAAAGCGGTGGAGCCCTGGAGCCAAAGTTGCATTCATGGCACCCTGAAATGTGCCTAGAACGCCGGTCAAGCCAAACGCCATCACCCTAAATTCATACTGACCCAGATGGGTTTGAAAAGCAGTCTTGTGCTCGTCACTGGCTTCGAGCAAGATCTGATGAAACCCGGCAAAAAGGTCTAAATTTGTAAACCAACTGGCCTAGGCTAGCTCGTCCATAAGCTCATCGAAGACTGGAACAGGGAATTTGGATTTAGCCGTGAGAGCATTAAGATGGCGGAAATCGATGCAAAACCGGTATGATCCATCTTTCTTCTTGACGAGGAGCACCATGGATGAAAATGCACTAGTACTTGGCTGGATAATCCCTTAGGACAGCATGTCATTGTCTTGGCACTCAATCTCATCCTTTAGTCCAGGTGGATAACGGTATGGCCAAATGAATACCGGACTATCCCCTGGTAGCAGAGGGATAGAATGATTGCAGGCTCGGGATGGTGGCAACTCCACTAGTGGGGTAAACAAATCAGAGAATGCATCAATCACGGCTTGTATTTCTTCTGGAAACGACTGCTGGGAAGATGCCTCACTAGACGAATTTGACAGTTGGTAGAGTTACAGCAGTAACGGGGATGGAGGCTCTTCATCAATTCCTTGCAGTAACACGGAGTTACCATGATATGGAATAAGCAACCACTTTTGGAGGCAGTGGACTTGCATGGGACTAAAGGCAGATAACCAATCCATTCCCAAAATAGCATCAAAAGCCGACAATGGAAGAATCCTGAAATCAGATGAAAATGTGCACTGATCAATTGTCCATGGCACTTGACTTAGAACCCCTGAACTCTCAAGCAAGCCACCGCTAGCAATTTGAACCTTAGTCTGCTACGGAATCAACTGAGCTATCGATAGCTTGGAAGCCAAAGACTCACTGACAAAAGAAGTTGAACTGCCCGAATTGACAAGTATCAAAGCAGGGATGCCAGCCACTGTCCTAGAAAACCTAATAGTACGAGATGCACTAGAACCCAGAGCAGCTGCCTTTGATATTGCAACACAACACAGTTGTTCTGCAGGAGGCTCTTCAGCATGTTCAGAGTGACAATCTTCCGAAGCGTCAAAGGAATCCCACAAGGCCTCCACTACCAGCATCACCTCAGGCAGGCATGTGTGATCCTTACTCCACTTGGTGCCACACTTGTAAAAAAGGCCTAGTGCGCGACGATAAGCTTTGACCACCTAGAGCTTGGGATCGGTGTAGGAGGAAGAAGTAGCCGGAGCAAAAGCAGCAATGCCCGATTTAGCGGCTGGCTTCTCAGCACGTGGCGGCAACGGTAATGGCAATGCCATCTTGGGGGGCAGTTGAAACTTGGAAGCAGAATGCCAATCACCAGCATGGCCATGCTTGACTATACCGGAAGCCCTAGCTTCTTCCTACAGTAATGCCAGAACGCAAGCAGTATCGAGGTTTTTTGATGCTGAACCAACACTAGCTTTAATTTTAGGAAAGAGCCCATCGATGAAATGCATGGTATAATACACGGGGTTGGTGGAATTGGAACATGCAGACAACTGATCGACTAACTCAGTGAAGCATTTGACATACTCAGAGACAATAGTCTGCTGTCGGATGGAAAACAGCTGACGGGTCAAGAGCTCATGTTGGTCACGATCAAAGCGATCGTGCAACAACTGACAAAATGTGGACCAAGAGGAATTGCGAAGTTGGGATTCAATGGACTAAAACCAATGAGCAGCAGGACCCTCCAGATAATGCTCAGAAACACTGATCCACAAGGATTCCTCGACATCGTACATCGCGAAGTACTTCTCACAGCGACGACGCCATAGTCGTGGATTATCGCCGTTGAATTTTGGAAAAGGCAGCTTAGGGAGAGACTAGAGGCCGAGGGGTTGTGGTGGTAATCAGGAGGTTTGTGGGGAGGAAAATTGGGCGAAAGAGTGTACGGAGGATGAAAAAACAAGTGGAGCAGAAGAAGGGGCGATGATCTGTGACATAGAAGATGGAGGAGCAAAATTCTGTGAAGCTGGATGAGGGGATGAGAAATTGGTAGGAATCATGTGGGTTTGAGAAAACTGAGGGTAATGCGATGGAGAAGGGTACGACTGATGAAAATTGGGCGGAGCTGATGCTGGAAGGGAAAAATTGGGGTGGAGCTGATGCTGGAAGGAAAAAATTGGGCGGAGCTGTTGCTGGAAGGGGAAAATTGGGTGGAGCAGTGGTTGGAGCTATGGGCGGAGGGGGGAAATTAGGCGGGCCTGTTGGTGGAGGAGGAAAATTGGGAGTGGGAAGAGGATACGGCGGGTAAAAATTGGATGGAATTGGACAAATCGGAGGACGAGGAGGAGGAACAATGACGGGCGAAGACGATCTAACACCGAAACACAAACACCAGATGAAATTGGAAGGTGAGGTGCAAACGTCATACCGTTGGCCGGGATATGGTTCCAGGTCATGACGACCCCAGAGCCAGTACCCCGTGTAAGCGATGCAGCGCAGTGTCCGATGGGCCTGTCGGCGTGAGATCCGGCAGCAGGCTGCGCGGGCGCCGACGAAGGGGAGAGCTGAGGCTCGAGCTGTCGAGAATATGAGTCCGCCAACTGCTGGTCCCAGTTAGTGGAGATGCACTTCACCTCGAGCCTAAGGTCATCCACCAGCGCCTCCACTGTCGGCCTCCAGGTACCGAGATCCGTAGCCGCCACCTCCAGCGCTGTGATTCGGCTATCGCGGTCGTCGTTAGCGTGGGCGAGACGAAGGGACTCCAGATCGGAGAAAGCGAACTCCAGGGAGACGACGCGGGTGTCGAGTGCCGCATCCCGAGCGGCGCGGTTGCGTTCTTGGTTAGAGAAGCGACGCTCCCACTTCTCATCTTGCTCATCGAAACGTCGGTTGAGCTCGTCGAGGACCAGCTTCAGGTTGGGATCCATAGCACCGTGGGCGCGGCGGAGCCTGGCCCTCCAGACTTATACTATCCTACTACTATACTATCCTACTACTACCATATGGGCCCGAACACCTTGGGATTGGCCGAACTCGCCTCTTGGGCCTTGGAGACGAAGGAGCGCTACCGCGGTTGCTGCCTCCAGCAGGGTCGACGCGGACAGTGGAAGGAGAGTCAGGGGCGTTGCTGACAGATCACCGAAAAAATTACACGAAAAAAATATAACCACGAAACATCGTCGAACCCTGCGGGGTCGCCCTCGCTCTCCGCCTTCGCCGGCGCCGCATCCCCGCGCGCCGTCGACCAGGAGAACCTCCACCCCAACCTCGCCACCTCACCAACGGTGTCACCTGCTAAGGGTGCCTCCTCGCCACCACCGAGGAGGATCACTCCACAGCCACTACCACTGTGCCAACCACGACGAGCCCTCCGTCAAGGTACCGTGATATCTCGGGAGGGTTGCGACTTGCGAGCTTGTTCTTGATTTGTGGGGATGCACGCAGGTGGTGGTGAGGGTGCGGCCGACGGTGAGCCGGCCAGTGCACGGCAAGGATCTGTGGTTCGTCCGCAGGACCGCCCCAGACTCAGTTGTCGCTGTTCGCTGTGGATGGCGTCCTCGACGACAGGGCCTTTCAGGTATATCAGCAGGTTTAAAACCCATTACCAATTTTTTCACGAGTAGCATGCCCAGTCATGCGCGGCTCTGAACGGATTCTGCGAATTGGTGGTTGTTTGCAGGCCGATGCGTTCGATCTGGTGGGATTGTCCATGATCGAGAACTAGCAGAATTAACTGTGTTGAACTAGCGGATTCCACAAAGGAGGAAAGACATCTTAAGAAGTCTCATTCAAGGCTTGGGTGTGTAAATCTGTAATTGCTTCTTTGATATTTTTTTCGCCTTCAACTTGATTCAGTTATGCCAATAGTCCAAGATCACTGTTCATCATTTATTTTTATTTTTCTTGGTGAATAATGGTGCTCATCTTATGACTTACACATGGGTTCGGCCATGAACTTAGCAATCGTATGTACTGCACAGGAGATCCAAAATAAGCGAGAGGGAGGAAGGGGCTCAGAACTAGAAAAGACTAAAATTACGGTGAGCTATTCCTTTCAGCCAATTTTTGGATCATTGATTTAAGGGTTATATTGTGACACCTTGTGTTTCTGACGACATTCAGATAGCTTCTCCGATTATTTGGGTTCTCTACTACCGCCGCGCGAGCATGGGCATGAGCTCCGCCAAGGCCTTGCCCTCTCCTTCGTGGCCGATGGCGAGCCCTAGGAGAGAGGAAGACCTGCTGCAAGAGGAAGAAGAAGCAGGCCGTGATGCTAGGAGGCAGGCACGTGAACATGGGTAAACCAGATTGCCAGGGTCTCTTCACCACAACCCTTTCATTAACTTTTATATCGATTATAAGGTTGAATATCAAATGATCTGTATTGTTTCCTGGGTGTTGGAGCTGAAAAGAATTTTTTGTTTGGGGTGAATTCTTTGCAGGAAAGAAGAGGGTTTGGATGGCGGAATTGTCGAGGATGAGAAGTTGAGCGCGGGCAACGCCGATATTGGATCCGTTTGTTTGGTTAGTGCTGCTGCTCTGTATGCATAATTACCGTATACATGTGTGTTCTTTCGTTGTAGTGACCTTATCTCTCTGTAAAATCTTCTGAATAATAGTGTCAGGATGGCAGCGTGTCATAGGAACCCATCAGATTCACAAGGATAATGAAATCACTGCACATCAATTGGTGTGTTTCACTGTGCATACGTTTGGATTAACTTGCCTCGAATCAATATACATTAATATTATATTTTGCATGCACTGTGAATATTTAAAAGGCTTTGTTTGGGCGAAAATTGGTTTCAGGCAAGCAAGCATGAGGAGAAATTTGGTAAGAATTCAGGCAGCAATCTTGTCGAGGTCTACGTGCACGATCTGGTTAGTGTTTGTTTGCTATCCAACATTGGGAAAATTGAAACTTTTAGGCTATTTTTTAGAGGAACTTTTAAGCTATATTTTGCATGCACTGCGATTATTTAAATGGCTTCATTTGCCAAAAAAGGGGGTTTTAGGAGAGCAAGCATGAAGAGAAAATTGATGACATTTCAGGCAGCAGTCCTGTCGAGGTTCACACGCACGGTCTGGTTAGTGCTTGCTTGCTATGCAACATTGGGAAAACTAAAATCTCTGCTGTTCATAGCCTCGTAGGTGCCTTCTGTTCATTATTTCTTCTGAATTTGAGTTTCATGACAAAGAACCTGTCGAATAAGTTGACCAGAAATCAAGGTGTAACCATGTCGAGATCACTGCACATGATATCGTTAGTTATTGTTTGCTAAGCATAACTGTGAACATTGAAACCATTTTGCGGCTATCCTGGTAGGTTGTTCCCTGGATTAGGCATATCAAATGGCAAGTTGATTACTTTGTTTTCTTGATTAATTCCTGAGATGATAGTAAATCTAATGTCACAGGGTATGGATAGGCCTATATGGTTCAAAGCATCAAGGTGAAAAGAAGAATAGTATCACCACGGTGAAAAGAATAGAGTTTATTCAGCCCAATTTGTTAGTACACTTTTTATTTGTTGGTCTCTGGAATTTCAAACCAACAATGACATTTTGCGGTATTGTCAACATTTTGTAGTATGCGAGACATGACCTATTATGCCTTGTTATGTATGAGTGTTTCCGGATTAAACTATAAAAAAATATCGTCGTTTGGTTGTTTTCATGTGCATCTCTGGAATGAACCCGTGATGTTAGCACGGGCACTGCGCGGATATGGCATTCTTACTCCCGCTTGTCCTGGTCGCTCACAATCACATCACAGAGCTTTCAATTGATGAACCTGCAGGCACAGCGGCCGTCGGCTTGGAGGGAGGAGGATGGTGGGAAGAAGAGGAGGAGCGCCAACGCATTACCAGGTGGCGGTGACGGTGTAGGCTGCAACAAGAGGTTTCGCGCCGCGGTTCGATGGGCTGCGCTTCATCGAGACCCTCGTCACGGCGCACCGCTGACTGCCTGTAATGTAATGTGGCCGCTAGCTAGTCCAGGTCGCCGGAGAGTAACGTTGCGCTAGTATTGTTGTGCCGTCGCCGTAGCTAGCCTGTAACCAGCTGATTTTGCTGTCACTGTTCGCCATGTGGCCCTTGGTTAACAAGGGTAGTCTAATCAGACAGAACTGGCTACTGTTAAACTGATGTCGGTGGTGCTATACTTTTTTTTTTTCTTTGGACCGGTTGTTCAGCCATCAATGGCGCGCCTCCTGCTAGGAACGATTTTCGAGTGAGCTGCCGTTCTACGGCTCAGCTCTCACAATTCACCAAACGCAGTAGCTACCCACCCACTTTGCCGAATCGGGTGATCTAGGTAGAAGAAGGCTGGCACTCCACAGGCTCTGCCTTTTGCTACCTGTACACCTGTACTAGCCACACTAGGAATTGGTTCTTAGGCTATGTTTAGTTCGTGAAATTTGAGAATTTGGCTACTGTAGTACTTTTGTTTTTATTTGGCAATTATTGTTCAATCATAGACTAATTAGGCTCAAAACGTTCGTCTCGCGATTTCCAACCAAACTGTATAATTAATTTTTTTTCGTCTACATTTAATGTTCCATACACGTATCGTAAAATTCGATGTGATGACTAGTGTAGCACTTTTTAGAAAAATTTTGGGAACTAAACACAGCCTTTCTGTATTTCCAGCCAGCAGCAGCACAGAAAACTCTGCCCGGCAATTCCAGCATTCGGCATTCGGCACCTGCGCTGCGAGCGACCTAAGAATTCACATGAAAGGCGTGGCGTTAAAGTACCTGTGTACGTACAGCACAGTAAGCTTTCAGGTTCCAACTACATCGGGCTATGCGTTTAATGATTTTTGTGAAGGCGATTTGAACGGGAATTTGCAGGTTCCAACAGGTTACATTTGTAGTCCTATATTCGAATTCCCAGATTCACCCAGCTGCTGGTGACGCTGACGTACTGACATGGATGGTGGAGAACTTGATGGAATGGCACGGCGGACAAACCGCCTGTTCGGGAGGCCGTATCGTATCGTGGATTATTTACTGTTGGCTGGTTTGGTGTGAGAGAAAAACATTGTTCCCGGCTAAAAATTTACGATCATTTACGAGCAAGCGAACAGGCTGCTAGGACTGGAGAAGCGTGGCCACAATTGGATCATACATCATAGTACCGTCTATACGGATAACATAATTTTTAGTAGTTTCGTTTTCGTCGAAGCCCTGAGGGCTCGTTCGTTTTGCATCGTTCCTGCCAGGAACGATTCCTGGTGAAGGCTGCCCTATAAAAATTATAGAAACGTTCGGCCAGGAACGGTTCACGGAGGTGAATCCTGGGAACCGAACAGGCCCTAAGCGTGAAATCACAAAATTCAGTCTGAACAACAGTAGTATCCTCAAAATCCAAATCCAAAAGCCGGTCTCTACTTGTGATAGAATCTTAGAGTTTCAATCAATCGAATAAAACAAAAAAGAATCTTTGAGTTGTCAGGATTTAAAAAAAGGTACAGTACGCAGAGCAAAATGACAATTCTGTGAGCGCAAGCTGGGCCTCATCGACGCGTGGAACCTGTGGCCCAAGGGTAACGCGTGCCGACCACGCCTGCTCCCGAGTCCCGTGTGAACGGGAATAGATTCCGCGCCACCCCGTGATACCGTTTGTGTGCGCTGCTCGCTCCACGTACACGGCGTTCCCAACACTCGTAGCGCCCGTCGATTTTCTCTCGCAGTCTCGCTCATCCTGTCACCGGCAAAATCCCACTAGTTTTTTTTTTCCAAGCAAAGATAACTCGATGCAAACAATTCTTATGAAACGGAACCAAATCCTGTGCTATAAGCTGGTTGGATGTTATCATGTTTTTTTTTAATCTGGATGTTACCATGTTACAGCCAAATATTGTAGCACATAAAAGTGTACATGAAAAAATCCAACAGAAAATATTATATAGATATATAAATGATGTAATCATCTACCGTGCAGTAAAATTTGCATAGCACCAAAAGCTTGTGCAAGGATAAATAAGAATGAGTTTTTTTTGCCCTTGGACAGGTGTCTACTGCAACTCAAATTCTACATTATGAATTTATCATAGATAGATTATTGAATTCTTTATGTGCATACACACATTTTGTTTATTTTTTTTAATATTTTAGAGGTAACATGAAATAGAACACCACCAAACACTTCAATGCATATCTATGCCTCCAATATTTGTGTGGCCTAGCTTGTTCCACCAGGATTTGGTAAGGTCGTATCTATGTAACACATTTTTTCATGTCATTAGGATAGTCTCAGCGAATGAAATTATGCACGGTTTCTATAGCAGCCATGTCAATAAGAAATCATCTATAGAAACTATCACAGGTAATGCACGTCTCTTTCCATCGTCTTCCCCTCGCCACCAGGCGTGAGCTCATGCTCACGATGGAGCAGCCTGCGCGGACGATGAACGTAGAGGAGCCTCAGCCGGGCTCCACTTTGCCATGGAGGGCTGCGTGCTCGTGCCTCCTCGTGGAGCCCGGCCTTGGTCGGAGAGCAGCGTCGAGCGCGGCAGCCGGTAGGCAAGAGCGGCAGCACAGGGGAGCTCACGCGGCAGCCGGTGGGCCAGCGCAACGGCACGTGCGAGCGAGCGCAGCAGCCGCCAAGCGAGCAGTGCGGACGAGAGCAGCGGCGCACGCGAGCGCGGCCAGCGTAAACGAGCAGGGCGGATGAGCGCCGCAGCCGGCAAGCGAGCAGTGCGAACGAGCGCGGCGGCGCACGCGAGCGAGCACGGCGGCCGGCAAGCGAGCACAGCGGACGAGCGCGGTGGCCGGCAAGCGAGCAGTGCAGACGAGCACGGCCTGCGCAGTCGAGCGTTGTCGGCGTGGTCGAGCTCGGCTAATATGCAAGCGCGGCGGCACAGGAAAGCGGGTGCGGCTCCACCACGTAGGGGTAGAAACCAGTGGTTTCTTCCCAATGCCGAATTCGTCGTTTCTCCATGACTCGAGTCAAGGAAGACTCCGTTTCTCTTCCAGGAAACGATTTTTCCTATTTTTCTTCTCTTCCCTCGTTAATCAAGCTGTCATGTTAGCATTTTGCTTAGTTAGTTAGTAGTTTAATGTAGATAGAAACATCATTAATACCCCCATTGAAACTGCCCTTATAATTCAACGAGTAACAACTAATCTTTAACTTCCAACCAATCAACTCATTTTTGTTCTCTTACGGCCAACACACCAGCTCACCCATCTCCTCCACCCAAGCATTTAGGACCCGTCTAGCTTGCTACTGGTCAGAGCTGCCTGGCCTAGGTGTCCGGTTTTGAACGCCTAGGACCAGGTTCGGATGCCTGGCAGGTATGTGCCTGGCAAACAGGCCTTTAAAGCCCGGCAGCTATAGGGCACGTTCGCTGGTCTGGTTTTTTCAGACCAGTCGGCTCCTCCTCCTCACAAAACATTGTTCATCAACCAGCCGCTACAGTGTTTCTCTCTCACAACAACCAGCTAGTTTCAGTCAAATTTCAGACCAGCGAACGGGGCCATAGAAAACACCTCGTCTCTAGCCTCTATGACGATTTGGACGCGACAATGCTTCGATTCCTTTTAAA